TCCCTGCTTCAAGTAGCTCTAACAGCTCTTGACCATTCGTGCAAACTTGTAAAGGCATACAGTTGAGCAGCTGCGGCTCATCGGATGTAGCTGTCACCCCCAGGCACAGTCATTGCGTCGAACGCTGCTCGGGGACCGCGTTGTTCCCTGATTATTTTGCTCGTTACCCTGGAGGTATTAGTTGGTGTTTGTGCTTTTCCAGTTCCTTAGCTCATTTTGTTTCTGGATTTTGTGGCCTTCCAGAAGAAGCAGCTGCGTCGCTCGGTGCGGCCTGAGTCTTCCTCGGTGCAGAATTTGCCAGCTCATCTCGTTTACCCGTTCGTGTCGCTCTCTGGAGGGTGTTGGTATTCACAGCCCCGATATCCAAGGGTTCTGTGTCTGGATCGTTTCTAACCCCGCTTTGTTGATTCTCAAACAGGATGGTGGGAGTGCCAGTTTCCCTCGTTTTCGTAAGTATTCACTGCATTGCTTCGGCAAGTTCAATCCTGTCACTCCTAATTTCCATCTCCGCCGCCTCTCCGGCAGATTTCCGTTCTATGAACCACTGAACCATTAATACGAAGCTTGAGGACGACCCAATATGCAAGCAGAGCCGTTTGCTGCATGCACTGACGCTGTAGGCAATTGTGAAATACTTACTTAGCCCTGCATAGCCAAAGTGCGCATAAGTAGCTATCACCGTACCAACTCCGCACAGTCAATCCAGTGCTACATGAAAACATACCCGAGCTGCCTCTTGATGCATCCATGAAAACCCTAGGCAATTCTTGGTACGTATATTCTCGGCCATCAGTTCCCGGTGTAAACACAAATAGAAGGACGTGAATACACGCTAGACTGATCAACCATTTCACACCTTAGCTCCTCCGCGGCCCATTCGCTCAAGGCCGGAGGCGGTGTTCAACAACTCGTCTTGCTCATTGGAGTGTACTTTCTAGAGCAGTCCGACGTCTTATATACTGTGTTATCCCCAGAATTCAACAATCTGATAAACAACAAGAGCAACAAAAACACATGGGAAGAGGAGGCACAGCCCTTGCCAGGCGCTGTACTTGGGCCGCCTGAGTTACTACTGGCGTTGCAAATGAGCTGGAAGGCTGCGAAATCCGACGGAAAACCGCATGTAAAAGAAACAATAACCATTGTACTGTTGTTTAAAACATTTTGGATGAGAAAATGAAGCGGATTTAACACCAAAAAAGTACTTGGTCGTTCTGTTTTTTGTGCAGAGAGAACACAGGCCGCCACCGACGCAGCCTAGTCGGAATGCTGGCTCGCCAGGAGGTTGGAGCAAGACGAGTGGAAAAGTACCTTTTAATCCTTTTAATGATTAAATTCGGATGAAAAGGGTTTATTTATGCTGAAAACCCCCCTCTAATCCCCCTCAAGTTGCGGCCGCAAGGTTATGTGTGTGCCCACACGGCACACANGCTGAAAACCCCCCTCTAATCCCCCTCAAGTTGCGGCCGCAAGGTTATGTGTGTGCCCACACGGCACACAATTGTGTGCTCTCTGGCAGCTGGTTGCTGCTGGTACCTTCTAGAGGCTCTGCTTGCCCTCTTTCCCCTCATTTTTCCTTTTTCGTAATTATTTTTCATTAAAAAAGGGTTTTGAAGTCTCATCAGCAGAAATATTCCCTAACTCCGTCATCGGCTGCCGCTGCGCTGCCGCCGCGGGAGGTGTAACCGCAGGTGACCCTCCTCCCAGTAGCCGCAAATGGAACTTTTTGCAGCTTTCTCGTCTTAGTCTTGCAAACTACTCTTCTTTTGAAGTAGACACTGGGGTCGCAGCTGCTGGGGTGTACAGACACACCAACAGCAGGATGGTCCGCTGCAGCCATCAGTACCAGCTGCTGGAGCTTTGTCCCCAGAAACTGAGACAGTTCAGCATGCAGCAACGCATCCATGAAGGCCAAATACTCAGAGATTACCCTTTCAAAACCAATGAGGGAGAAAGGCGAGGCCTCTGGAGCAAATCCGCANCCAAATACTCAGAGATTACCCTTTCAAAACCAATGAGGGAGAAAGGCGAGGCCTCTGGAGCAAATCCGCAGACCTTCTTCCTGCTTATCACCCGCTGCAGCAAAAAGGAGATGCATCATCTCTCCCTTCGTGGCGGCTCAGCCACACAGAAGTCTCAGCAGCGCCTACTGGCGCTGCAGCAGCAAGGTCAGAGGCAGCTCCAGCGGCTGCAGCATCAACACCCACTGCTGCAGCATGTGCAGCGGCAGTTGCAGCTGCGGCAGCAGCAACAACTGTGACGCATACAGAAGATAACCCTGGCTGCTGCCCTGAAGGCAAAAACACACTCTCCACAATCGCGACAATGGCGGCATCAACCGCATCAGCAGCAGCAGCAGCACAACTGCCTCTAGCGAGGTTCCCCCGTCGACTGAAGGCATTCGCACTCTTTGCTGCTGCAGTGCTGCTTCTGTCTCTCCAAGGTAACACAGGTGCTGCAGCTGGCGCTGATGCTGCAGCAACAGCACTACTTTATCTTGGCTCCACAGCACAGCACCAGCAGCAACTTTATCCACGACGGATGAGCAGGCGACTGCAGTCGCTATCTCAGGGTGCTGTGCAGCAGCNCAGCAGCAACTTTATCCACGACGGATGAGCAGGCGACTGCAGTCGCTATCTCAGGGTGCTGTGCAGCAGCAGCAGCACCAAGGCAACTTCCAGCAGCAGCAGCTGCTGCAGCAGCCGCTGGACCGACGCATGCAGCAACAGCAACAGCTTCAACAGCAACAGTTCCTCCAGCAGCAGCAACTAGTTCAGCAGCAGCAGCTGCAGCAGCAACTGCAGCAGCAAGGCCAACGCTTCCCCGTGGGGCTAGGCCAGCAACAAGTGAACCCCCAACTGCAGCCGCAGTGGCAGCAGCAGATGCTCCAGCAGCAGCTGATGCAGCAGCAACTCCAACAGCAGCAGCTGCTGCAGCAGCAGCATGCACTGCAGCAGCAGCCACAGGGGTTGACTGCACAGGGGTTGACTGGACAGGGGTTGACTGGCCTGCAGCAGCAGCAGCTAGAGCAGCTTCGTCAGCAGCAGCAGCAGCAGCAACTGCAGCAGCAGCGGCTGCCAGTGCAGCAGCAGCAGCCTTCGACTGCATGGGACCAACAACAATGGCAGCGGCTGGAGCAGCAGCAACAGCTGCAGCAGCAACAACTGCAGCGCCTGCAGCAGCAGCAGCAATTCCTTCAGCAGCAAGCATGGCAGCAGCAACAGATGCAGCTACAGAACCAGCCGCCTTATCGTGCACCTGCTGCTGCTGCTGCACACCCCGCCCCAACACCCCTTTCTCCTGCTGCTGCTGTCTTAGTTAACAGCCTTCGAGGGGTCCTAGGTGACCTCAGCAGCAGCGGGAGCCCCCTCTCAGTAGAGCAGCTGACTTCGCTGGTGCTGCAGCATCTCCCGCTGCAGCAGCAGCGGCAGATATATCTACAGCTGCAGCAGATGCTTGCGCCGGATCAGCTGCAGCAGCAGCAGCAGCAACAGCAGCAGCAGCGGCCCCTTCTACAGCAGCTGCAGCAGCTGCAGCAGATGCAACAGCCAGTGCTTACTGCGCAGGAAGCAACCGACCTCAGCAAAGCAACCGCCTTGATGTCTGCTGCAGCAGCAGCAGCAGCAGAAGAAGAGGAAGCAATCGCAGGACAGGGTGTACATGGATGCGTCCCTTTACACTGTCTAGACACCTCAAAGAGAGGTTCTGCTGTCTGCGGCACAGACGGAAAGACCTATGAAAGCCGCTGTGCCTTGATAGAGGCGGCATGCGAACGCAGCAGCAGCAACAGCAGCAGCAGCAACAGCAGCAGCAACAGCAGCAGCAACAACACCAGCGGCAGTGGCGTGATGAGGCTCGCTGTGCAGCACGAAGGCGCTTGCGGACAGCAACAGCATCACCACCACC